ACAGGAGAGCTCTGACACTGTAAATGCCTGAGCTAACGAGGCAGTTACTCATAGTCTGCACCCAGTGAAGGGGCAGACCAGATTTCCAGCACACTGGAACACCAGAGATCAGCATTCCCCCTTTCACTGAAAGGTAACAACCACAAAGGGAGAATGAATATTTGATTTTAAATTATTATTAATGTAATAAATCCCCTATACAAACACACATACATTGATGAAGGTGTATGATCAGGGGGGCCGGGAGGGGGGCGCTGTGCCTAATTGCCTAAGGCCGGCCCTGCACGCTCTCCTTCGTCAGAGGAAATGTGCATACATTGTCATCCTCTAGATTGTAAGCTTGTTTGAGCAGGGTCCTCATCAACCTATTGTTCCTGCTGTAATCTCCTTTATAGGATCCCCTTTAAATTTCTTATACGTGATGCAGTTACTTAATTGCCTTAAAGACTCCTCAATATAATATTCCTTATCCATGAGCCCAATCCTGTCCTCCTTTTGTGTCACTTTAATCACTATCTCATCACTATCCTTCAATTCTTTCAAAGCTTGTACGTCGTCTCTATTTGGATTCCTTTAATATCTGTTAACTCTTTCAATCTTTTCTACTTCTCTCATGACGAGTTTCTCAGAAGTCGCCATTGAATTAGTTCTACAGCTTTTAGGAAAAAAAGTAGACTTATTACAGAGTTTAGTATGTACTATATCTATTATTTCTAATTTAGTTTCTTCTTCTTGCGTTAATTGAGCTTTATAGTTATATAAAGTTATACACCAATCACAATAGGGTTACAAAGTATAACACTCCCCTAGTAAACCCTCCTCTCTGCCTGGGAGATAGTTGGGTCAGATACTGCAATAACTCAGTTATCTCCAGGCAGAAAAAAAAACACATTTTCCCCAAAACTTCTAAAGCATCCCAAAATACATAAAATCCCCATAAATGCTGATAGCCCTGATGTGGGTGACCAACGTATCCAAAAATCACCCAGATCAGTTTAGGTGTTCGGGAGTTGCATGGAAGTCTTAGTTTGACCGACTGCACATGAGGCTCTTGCCCAGAAATAGTTCCATCAGTTCAGGTTGTGCAGTCGGTCTATTTCGGAAAGTCTTGAAACCGAATAAATCCACGAACAGTACCCCCTGGCTCATAGTAGCGTTTGTTCCCCTAGTTCATGGGAACAAAACTTCCGAACAGTGCTCTCCTAGCTGGTTGGGAAAAGGAAGCAGGCATGTGTAAGGTTTGACCGGTGTTCAGGAAGTTGCGTGTCTGATTTTAGTTCCAGACATTTGACGACCAAGTCCCGCTGCCTCCTTCGTGCGAACAAGATGGCCAACGTTTTCTCCTGCACAATGAGTTCAACTATAGGAACGGTGGCGACACAAGGAGAGTACTAATTCCTTGTTCTCTTTGAAGTTAATGAGCCAAGGAGGTGGTCTGTGTTCGGTAGTTTCAACCAATTTAGGTCTTTTAGCCTTTTAGTAGATAGCTCCCTAATACCATGGGAATTAGGGAGTTATCTACTTATTCATTCCTGTCATTATATTGACAGGCTAAGTAACTTACATTTTATATGAATGTATGTTACTTTATTGTTGTAAGTGTTGCAAATGCTTACAGATGAATCCTGGCTCTGTGTGTATACTTTTTATTTAAAATTGTATACAATGTAACATTCTTCTTCTTTCACTGGGTAAGTATATTAGTACTTAGTCAATACTGTACTTCGGCACTTCTGTATTTTTGAAGTACCCGAATGTCCGAATTGCCCGAAATTCGTCCGAATTCATATTCGGACTGAAACAAATTGCACATGTCTAGTCTGCAGGAGCTGCACTGCCTGTCAGCCTCCACAATGAACAGAAGTAACTGTGTGATTGTGTGAGTATGACTGTCTGTGTGTGTATATGACTGTCTGCCTGTGTGTGTGTGTGTGTGTGTGTGTCTGTGTGTATGACTGTCTGTGTGGGTGTCTGACTGCCTGCCTGCCTGTGTGTGTGTGTGTGTGTGTGTGTGTGTGTATGACTGTCTGCCCGTGTGTGTGTATGACTGTCTGCCCGTGTGTGTGTGTGTGTATGACTGTCTGCTTGTGTGTGTGTCTGTGACTGCCTGCCTGTGTGTGACTGTCTGCCTGTGTGTGACTGTCTGCCTGTGTGTGACTATCTCCCTGTGTGTGTCTAACTGTCTGCCTGTGTTTGTGTGTGTGGGTGACTGTGTGTGTGTCTCTCTGTGTACAACTGTCTGCCTGTGTTTGTGTGTGTGTGACTGTGTGTGTGTGTGACTGTCTGTGTGTGTGTGTGCATGTGACTGTCTGCCTGTGTGTGTGTGTGTGACTGTCTGCGTGTGTGTGTGTGTGCATGTGACTGTCTGCCTGTGTGTTTGTGTGGCTGTCTGCCTCTGTGTGTGACTGCCTGCCTCTGTGTGTGTGTGGATGGCTGCCTGCCTGTGTGTGTGTGTGGCTGTCTTCCTGCATGTATGTGTGTGGCTGTCTGTGTGTGTGTGTGTGTATGTGGCTTTCTGCCTGTGTGTATGTGGCTTTCTGCCTGTGTGTGGCTGTCTGCCTGTGTGTGTATGTGTGTGTCTGCCTGTGTGTGGCTGTCTGCCTATGTGTGTGTAAGACTGTATGTGTGGGTGTTTGTGTGTGTGTGTAAGTAAAACTGTGTGTGTGTGTTTATCTACCTGTAACTGTGTATGTGTGTTACTGCCTGTACCTGTGTGTTTCTGCCTGATCCTGTGTATGTGACTATCTGCCTGCGACTATGTGCATGTGGTGGATTTGACAGTGTATATGTATAACTGTGGGAATGTGTGCACATAACTCTGCAAACATATACACCTGCATTCACACACAGGCCTAAATGCGTGTTTTTATCTGAATTAAATAACCATCACACACAGCCAATAAACCCAGCACAAATATCACATACAACTAATACATGCATATCACACACTGTTAATACACCCATTACAAATATCACACACAGCCAACAAATAGCATACATATCACACACAGTCATCACATCTATCACATACACAGACAACACAAACATTACGTCATACATGGATGCCGGGGGGGACGGGGACGCTGTAAAGATTTTTCGCAAAGGGTGCCTAAAGACCTAAGGCTGGCCCTGATGGTGCTAGAAGGGGAGAGTAAATACAAAATAATTACTTACATTAATGTGTATATCTGTTTATCTACAACGGGTGGTATGCACTGTATGCTCTGTATATCATCATTTGAAGGTGCTTTACAGATGTATGGCTGAATATTTCTAGGTATCTACTCTAGCACAGCACTATTTTTTTGGTTTAGATTGCTTTAGTAGCACTCTGCATATGGACAGCTGTATGGCTGCCAGTATTACTGGCACTAAGGCATATCGCAATGGCATGTACCTTTTACAGCCACGAGTGTCACCATTTAAACTAACATGTCCCATGTTGGCCCATCCTCTTTCTGTCTAGGTCTATATTGACCATTAAGGTGTTTTGGAGACATTAAAGGAACATTATAGTGTTAAGAATACATAACTGTACTCCTAACATTACAGTGTCCCTCTGCCTCCGTGTCCCCCCTGGACATGAAAGGGTTAGAAACTTTTTTTTTTTTTACAACTTACCCAATTTTAGCGCCGTGGTCCCTCAGTGCTGTATTGGGCTCCTCCTCCGTCTTCAGCACAATCCGGGAAACTAATGCACGTGTGCAATAGGCCATCCTCATAGGAAAGCATTGGCTCACTGCTTTCTTATGGGATTTTCAAGATGCTGGACGTCTTCTGCCAAAGGGTGAGTTAAACTGCAGGAAGACTGCAATGTTTTATATTGCAGTCTTAAGGGGACTGGGTCACTGCAGCCAGACCACTTCACTTAAAGGGACACTATAGTCACCTGAACAACTTTAGCTTAATGAAGCAGTTTTGGTGTATAGAGCATGCCCCTGCAGTCTCACTGCTCAATCCTCTGCCATTTAGGAGTTAAATCCCTTTGTTTATGAACCCTAGTCACACCTCCCTGCATGTGACTTGCATAGCCTTCCATAAACACTTCATGTAAAGAGAGCCCTATTTAGGCTTTCTTTATTGCAAGTTCTGTTTAATTAATATTTTCTTATCCCCTGCTATGTTAATAGCTTGCTAGACCCTGCAAGAGCCTCCTGTATGTGATTAAAGTTCAATTTAGAGATTGAGATACAATTATTTAAGGTAAATTACATCTGTTTGAAAGTGAAACCAGTTTTTTTTCATGCAGGCTCTGTCAATCATAGCCAGGGGAGGAGTGGCTAGGGCTGCATAAACAGAAACAAAGTGATTTAACTCCTAAATTACAGTGAATTGAGCAGTGAAATTGCAAGGGAATGATCTATACACTAAAACTGCTTTATTTAGCTAAAGTAATTTAGGTGACTATAGTGTTCCTTTAAACCACAAAACTAAAGGTCTACAAAACATTGGTTAGACATCCCCACCACCACCAATACACACTTCACTGTTATGTATCTTTTATATTACAGAATTTTTTTTTATTTTTTTTAATGGATTAGGGTTTGAACTTGTGCTAGGGTCCTTTGATCTTATGGTAGTACCAGAACATACCTATTCCAGTCTGCCCAAAGGTATAATTAATAGATATAAGTGTGTGCTCTTTAGAGGAGACCTTGTGTGTACCATGACAGATACACTTTAATGGGAATGCATCATTTTGTAATACATTTTGTACTTGTGATATCCTGCACAGGCATACTTTCATATGTTTCCATGTATAGTACAAAGAAAATATATAGATCAGCAACAGTGTTTCACAGTAAAACTGAAAATAATCTGCTCAGGTAAAATCAACATACCTACATGCATGTAGAATCATTTGGATCATTGACATTGAAATGGTAAACCAGACTCCTTTGAAGCTATTTTATATAAATTAGTCTACAATTTAGCGGGTTTTTTTCCACAAGAAAAGTAGAGTGAGTGTAAATCCGATATACCCTCAAATTGCTATAGCCAAACATATCAAAATTAATTAAAGAAACACCATAAGCACTGTAAACATTGTATCTTATTGAATTGCCTATAGTGCATTGAGTACACATTCATTCAGTGTATTTCCGAGCAGTCTACCACTAAATAAGGGTCACTGGGCACCTGCAGCACAGCACCACTTAGAAGTGTGGCTTAAGCAGAGATTACTCACTTCCAACTAGACATATCAGTTGATACCAGCAATAGGAGCTGTAATAAGCTGAAAGGTGTCAACACAGAGGAGATGGGCTAAGGTCTCTTTTATAAAAATTAAAATCTAAATATGGTTTAATGCTGAATGGAAGGAGGATGCCAGACACTATAACCACTTTAATGAGATTAAGCAGTTATAGTGCCTACTGTTATTATATTTCTACAGGTATTTAATCACTTTCCAAGATTAGCATTTCATATCCAACCAAAAATTGAAAGACATACAAAATAAAATCACATCACATAAAAACAAAGATATTTGTTTAGTCTAATATCCTATATAATTTCAGAGGTAAATATGAGGAAAACATAAAATCCAAACCAAGTTTCTGAGAAATATGACAGAGATGCTTCGATTGTGTCAATGTTATTAGTAGCAGCGGATTATAAACGATATGCTAGTGAAACTTGTAAAGGAGGGCGGCAATGGTTGAGAGAGAAACAGTGAAACCAAGAATGACTGGAATGTACTGCGGCCTTCTGTGAGATGAAAAAAGTGATTTAAATAGTTTTCATTTGTCAAACAAATGGTGCAGTTACAGGAATGCTGCTTGTTCTGTGTAATTAGCATATGATACATTAAAAAAATACACTTCTAACAACAGAAGAGCTAGAGGGATTTTCAAAGCAACCTAACCAGTGCATTTCAGTTTTGTGGCTACGTTGCCAAGAATCTAAGGTTTCCGTTCACCCACCCGACCCCCCTTTTAAAGTGTTTGAGGGACATTTCGCAAAAACCACCACTCTTCCCAGCACCCATAGCCCAACTTTTCTTGAAAGAACAATCTGGTCACCATAACAACGTCATAGAAATTAAGTTGTTATTGGGGTTTAGTCATTCTCGATTCTTCATTTCTCCCAGCTGGAACCGTCTTCTGAAATTGACTGGCTTGATGGCACAGATTTTACACTTCTATATTATTAATATCAATTCCAGTGATGGGCAAACTTGTTCTCATCCTACCACTGCCATCCATGATGGATCTGGAAAAACAATGAAAGACAGGGGAACAACGAAGAGTCAGAGAAATGTGGTGTCAACAAGAAGTGGAGAAATGAAAAGGCAGGATGAAGAGGGGTGGGTTTAATTGGCAGGAAACGATAAGAGCAAAAACTAAATAGGAGACGACAAAGTAAGTCTAGAGGCAATATTTATCTTACCGTGAAATGGTCAAATTAGACAGTAGACAGTCAAGTTTAAAAAAAAAATGGAATTAGGGAGATGATTATATGGCTTATGTGGGTAGTGAAATAAGTCTTAAGTTTGGAGACAAAGCTGGTGTTTGGAGATATTGTGTTATTTATGAAACGAACACATGTAAAGGGTGAAATAACAATGAGATATAAGTTAAGCAATCACATATATTTGGCAGTGGCATACCTACTGGGTCTCAGCTACGAATGGCCCATCTCTACAAGGGACCCTCCGACTGTGTGCCTGAATAACTTGGAAGGGACTGGGGAGGGGACATTGAGACACATGGAAAAGACTGGGGGTGGACATTGAGACAAATGGAAGGGACTTGGTTGGACATTGAGACAGATGGAAGGGACTGGGTGGGAGTGAGACACATGGAAGGGACTGGGGGGGTTGAGAGACATAGAAGTGACTGGGGGGAATTGAGACACATGTAATGGACTGGGGTGGAGTTGAGACACATGAAAGGTGGGAGTGAGACACATGGAGGGTCTAGGTGAGAATTAGACACATGGAAGGGATGGGGCTTGAGACATGTGGAAAAGCTGGGGGGAGACTGAGACACATGGAGGGCCGGGGGTGAGAATGAGACACATTGAAGGGCTTGGTCGGGATGAGACACATAGGGGGAGACCAGAGCAATTGTTTGCACTCATTTGGTATCCAACCAAGGGTTCTGTATTTTTTACCCTGTGAAGGTGGAGCACGTTGACGTCCTCCACTGTCCAGCCTTTGCCATTGCAACACTGACCAACACACACTCACTGACAGACACACACTCACTGACAGACACAAACTCACTGACTGACAGATACACACACACACCAACACACACTCACTCACTGACTGACTGACACTGACAGACACACACACTGACTGACAGACACACACACACACATATTTACACATTCTTGCACACACTCACATCATTTTATTTATTGTTCCCTACCTTTGGGAGCTTTTCTTGCGAGGTCTCCATTCCTGCTCCTCACGCGCGCAATTTAGTGATGCCGGGTGCTGGAAGATGACGTCATATTCCAGCACCCGGCATCACTACAGAAGGTGCGCGCAAGGGAGCAGTGAGGAGCAGGAAGACTGAGCTTCCTCTCTGCCGCCAGTGACCTCTCCTACCGGCTGGGTACATTTTAGCAGAGATGGCACCTGCAATATGGGGAGAGCAGGTGCCTACTCTGTCAAACACACGGTTCGCTGGGCCACAAAGATATTCATTGTGGCCTGCGAGTTTGACATGCTAGCTCTACATCATCCCAGTCCTGATTGCATAAAGTACATTGTATCCCTCTTCAGAGTAGTAAACGTTTTGGCCACATGGTGGCACCTGGTATTACTGAGGTTTTTGGAGAATGCTTTATCACTAAGAATAGTGATAAGGTCTATCGACCTTGATATGGACAACTATGAATAAAACATTTGTAAAATGTTATATTTGTAATACTATTTGGTGAAAACATACACATTAAAAAAGCAGGAATTAATTCAGTTTGTTTGATCTAATGGTAAATAATACTTAATTTCTCTGCCTGGATCTAGGTCATAGTAATACGCTCAAAAGATACAATCATGGGAATAACTTCCAATTAGAAGCATTTTTCTACTTGGCTCACAACTGAGACTTTTATATGAAGAGCTATTTATAGAAAGGGACTCAGAGGAACATATTCAGCTTATTTGATGAACACAAAGCCTAACATTGGCTATAAAATAAAGAGTAAATTAATATAGACAGTTAACGTAAGTGAAAAAAATAGCACAGGTGATTTCCTTATTACATTACATGCATTATATTTGCAATGGCTAAACTGAACATAGATACATGTACTACATATATGCACCTAGATCTACTACTAGATGGTGTAAATAGCTGGCTTCTGATTAATTAATTTACACTCAGAAATCACTTTGAAAGTGATATTTAATATCACGGTTTTCGGGCTGGCTTCCAATATTAAACTGACCTCACACAGCAAATCTATTCCCCTAGCACTCTGCCCAGCATGTCTCATCCAGTAACGCGTATAGATATAAGGCGAAGTATGGAAAAACCTTTATAAAAGTTTCTCCCACCTTGACTGATAAATCTACACAGAGATATTGATCAGTCCCCATTGGTATTTTGAGACTAAACATCCCTTGGACTATTAAATCAGCTAAATACCCAATATGTCCCTGGAGACTGGGTATCTCCTGGGCCTTATTTAGTTATTACTCTCCACTCCATAGCCCATAAGGGGAATATAATAGAATAGGCCACTCCTGGTTTGTTTTTTTGCTTTCTGCTGAGGGTTAAGTCTATTTACCCCTCGTCTAAGTAGTTTTAGATTGAAAGCTCATTTGGGCAGGGTCCTGTTCACCTACTGTTCCTGTAAGTCATACTTTTTTTGTCAGAATTAAATGTTTGTCTTTTTTACCTATTGTACAGTGCTGCGGGATATGTTAGCTCTATATAAATAAAAATAAATCAGGAAACCACAATGCAATATCATAAATAGCAAATGGTGTTGTAGATCCTCTGGTTTCCGTTGGATCGCTTGCACTCAATTTCTGTTGCAGTAAAGTTAATCTATCGTATATACTCAAGTACACGTCGACCCGCATATAAGTCGAGGCCCCTAATTTTACCCCAAAAAACTGGGGTAAAACTTGACTCGAGTATAAGACTAGGGTGGAAAATGCAGCAGCTACTGGTAAATTTCTAAATGAAATTAGATCCCCCAAAAAATTATATTAATTGAATATTTATTTACAGTGTGTGTGTATAATGAATGCAGAGTGTGTATGTATGAATGCAGTGTGTGTGGGTGTACGAATGCAGTGTGTGTGTGTGTACGAATGCAGTGTGTGTGTGTGTGAATGCAGTGTGTGTATGTGATGCAGAGTGTGTGTGTGTATGTGATGCAGAGTGCGTTTGTGTGTATGAATGCAGTGTGTGTGTATGAATGCAGAGTGTGTGTATATGATGCGCAGTGTGCTTGTGTATATGATGCGCAGTGTGCTTGTGCATATGATGCACAGTGTGTTTGTGCATATGATGCACAGTGTGTTTGTGCATATGATGCACAGTGTGTTTGTGCATATGATGCACAGTGTGTTTGTGCATATGATGCACAGTGTGTTTGTGCATATGATGCACAGTGTGTTTGTATATATGATGCACAGTGTGTTTGTGTATGTGATGCAGAGTGTGTTTGTGTTTATGATGCAGAGTGTGTTTGTGTTTTGTTTGCCTGGCAAGGGAGGGGGCTATATTATTCCCTGTTGGTTCAGTGGATGGGCTGTGCAGGAGTCGGGCTGAGAGCAAGCTGTAACTTACCTTTACTTCAGCTCCCTTCTCCTCCATGCCGTTCAACTCACAGTGTAAGTCTTGCGGTCTGCGTGCCGCAACGTTCTGACGGCCACGGCTCTCGCGAGACTTACACTGTGAACTGAACAGCACGGAGGAGAAGGGAGCTGAAGTAAAGGTAAGTTACAGCTTGCTCCGGCCCCCAACAGGACCGCCGGGCTTGTAATGAGCCCGGCGGTCCTGGTCTGTATTATGGCAATGTAAGTTGCCATAATACAGACACTGATTCGAGTATAAGACGAGTGGGACTTTTTCAGCACAAAAAATGTGCCGAAAAACTCATCTTATACTCGAGTATATATGGTATTTTAATAAATAAAAATGTAATTTTGCTGCAACACCAAATAAAAAGCCTGCCAGGCTTTAGTAAATCAAGCTGAAAGTTTTCTGACTGTACTAGGAAAGATTTAGTAGAAAGCCAACCAACAGATTATTTATGTATTTTCTTCTGAAAGTATGCCTGTGTGCCCAGGATATTGAGATGTATTTGTCGACACTGTGGCAATATGCAAGATATTTAGTATAATAACTAGGAACCAAGTTGGAAACTTTTTACATGAGGTTGGCAACTTTTTGTGAATTTCAGTGCAAAACATGGTTTAATAAAAAGGTTAGTCTCATCATAAAACATGCCAGAGGTGAAACTGTTCAATGGTATAACAGGGACGTCTACAAAACAGAAATTCAACCTTGCCCAGAAAGGAATATTTATACAGAGCATGGAACAGTCCATGGAATATTTCATCACTCACAAAATTTAGATATGAGCAGTTTGTCTTTTAGAGGAACATGTCTAGCATTTTAAATACACGTGAAGTTTAAACAGTGCTTGTATGAGATGATAATTTGAATTTACATATTGATGCATAAATTAAAATATTGTTCCAACCCCTTTTTTTTTTAGAATAAGGCCCTGTTGGCCATTAAACTTCCAGTCCTCCCCTAGCAATGGATAAACAAAGTTAATAAAATATGTTTTCATTGCCTTATTCTAGCACCGGGCGAAGCTCCTGGCGCTTAAACAAATAAACAAAAATAACCGTTGTAGGCATTATTACAGAACATAACACATAACCCCAGTGACTCACTCCACACGTGGCAAGATATGTAAAAAAATATATAACGGATAAAAAGTTACTCTGGTATATGTGCTTGGGCTGTGCACAAGATAATACATGCAGGTGCAACAAGTGGCAAATTTAAACTTATCTTGTAATAATTAAAATTTTGTGGTCATTCACAGTTTTTCAATTCGCATGTGAGAAACATAAAGACAAAGTAAATCATAGTATAATACTGTTTACTAAAACTTTCTAATGACACCAATTTAAAAATGCTTACATAGAAGTTAATGGGACCATCACTGGTTTTAAACACACTTACAGTGCCTGAGTACAAAACTCTGCAGCTTCCGGTTCAAATTCGCCAATCCAAATGAGCACTTTCCACTGAATGCCTCCAATTCCCTGTACCTTTCAATTAATGGTTGGCGCTCTTACGGAATTCATGGCTTTTTGGCAAATCTGTAAAGCCTTTAAAACTGGTCCCTTTGAGCCCACGAACATAGGTCAGCTTTTCAATTGTAATTCGCAACGCCCCCTTATGACATCACAGAAGCCTCCTAGAGAAGTCTTTATTTGACCGTTTAACCAACTCAGAGCGCTTGCATGTGATCCAAGAGGAGGGAAGGCAGAAGAAAAAAAAATAGCACATGGGATGGGGAGGAAAGAGGGCTGCAATTTGGGCGGGAGGAAAGGAAGACCCATGCAGATTTCGTCTGTTGCCAGAGTTCCAGGCTACCTAATTACCATGTGCCAGGGGTGTGACTAGCCCCTGTCAGACAAGTACAAATGCCTATGCATCTGCAGCATTTCAAGCAGATACACTGCGCATCCAGACTCCTAACATACTGACCCCTCAGAAGTGGTCATGATGGTTAGAGTAACACTCTAATCTTTTTTTTTTTTTTCCTTAGGGACCTAAATTCTGTCATGACCCATTATTTTAATTCATTTTGAAATTAGCTCAATGATTTTCTAACTCTTGTGTAATATATAACAAAATTAACTCAGCAAAACTTCTTTATTGGAAAATTCCCACTGTGAGAAAGGTCTCCAATGCCCTGGGGTAACCAACACAGCTACAGTAAACCAGTATAATGTAGGCAGTTGCCTGAGGTCTGACAAATGAGATATGCTTCTTCCAACCTATGGGGACACATTGAAATTGATGATTTACACCATTTTCTCCCTTGCATGGTTGCTTATTGTGGGTGGGCTGTGTAGCATGATCCATCTTCCAGTTATTGGTGGTTTAGTTTGTTTCCTATATACTTTATATACTGATCCCATCACATAGATTTATAAGTAAACCCTAAAAAAATGTGTGTGGGATTATCGAATTGTTGTGCAAGTCTCCTGATACGTACAGGCTCTTAAGGGATTATGTGAAGTGTTGCACTTACCACCCATGAAATGTAACTAATAATCACTTCGCTAAACTAAACATTTAATTTGTAAGGTGCTGTTCGTGTGTGTGCAACCACTTCTCTGTAATCCACAATGAAAGATGTGAGTGGTAAGAAGATAATATGCGTTGGGGGTTGCTTGACTGTTCTCATTATCATTTGGTGTGTTTACAAAGCAGAAGACATATTTAGCGAGGGAGAAGATTTGACTTCTCTCTTTGACAAATGATCTTTCAAAAACACCCACATCTAATATATATATTAATAACCGGTAAACATAACATTTCTTTAGCAAAGTAAATTGTGAGATTACACATTAAAAATATCCTATTGTATAGACTATAATGAAATTGCATAATGACCATATTCTATCATTATTTATTGTAATGCCATAGTAACCATTTTTAATGGGGTTCTTGAGATTTTTTTTGATGTTCTTGAGTTCAGTTCTTAAAGATTTCATAAGGGAGGAGAGCCTCGGGTTTTTGGCCATGATCTCTCATCTGTTGGCTGTCAGACTAACAGCCATTAGAGGCACTTCCTCATTGAAAACATCTAATTATTAAAATTCTTCATATTCGGCAACATCATACATACAGCATAATGCTAATGAAAACCGTGAATGCTTCTCACAGACAAGCATTAGATTATGTGCTTTTCTGGGGGGACCTTCGCCACCACTCCCCTGGTAGTGGCATAGCGAGGTCAAGAGGAGCCTGAGAGCAACTTCTTTATTTGCAATCCCCTCTCCTCCCCCATCCCTCCAAACAGTTCCATGTCCTCAACATAATAATAATAAACATAATAAAAATAATAATAAAAGTGAATAGGGCCCTATTAAATTTAATACTAAAATATCTGCTCTACTCTGCAGCCCCCGTCCTTCTCTACACTATGGCTCCTATACACCCTACAGTACCGACCCTCCCTCCTATGCTAAAGCCCTCATCCACCGCTACACTACAGATCCAGTCTCTCACTATGCAGCCATTATTTCCCTCTACACTATAACCACCTAGTAGTAGCCAACATGCAGCTGACGTTAAAGAAAAACTGGATGGAAATAACACAGTGGAGAGTGAAGTACTTTGGCCGGGTTTCCTGATGATGGAGTAATTTAGTAACGGTTTGTCCCCTTACTTGGGTCCCTGCTGGACTTCAGTGAGCACTGGTGATGCTCTTCTGATCAAATCACTATTCCTTGGCAGAAAGCAAACACATGCACAGAATTTACATTAGCTGGATAATGAAGCCCCAATAATGTTGCTGGAAGTCAAGTTACACCTCTGCACTAGATGGGTTAAACTCCATATGTGCAGCATTGCTAATACAGACTCCAGACACTATAACCAGTTCAACTCACCCAAGTGATCATGGTGCATGGAGCAACCCTTTAAAGAGTTATAAAAATGTTTTCAAAAGTGGAATTGCTTATTAAATATTTTCCTTTTTTTTAAGCAATATTTGTATTTCTATAACATTTTTATGAACTCAGTGTCTTTTGCAATAATCTAAAGTGTTCCACGGGTTTATATTTTAATATTCTAAAGAGGAAGCTTCTTCTCAATTCTACTGCACATTTGAATAGACACATTATTAAATCACATCATATCTGGCAATAATTCAAGAACTTTCATGCCTCCGTTATAAGTCTTAACTTAGTGGAGTAGCAGCTTGTACTCACCATATTTTCTTCATAACTGGCTTGAGAACAAGAAATACCAAGATTCCTCTGTTACCACTCCCTCATTAAACTCTTGAATCCAGAATTGTTTTCATATCTCTTCACCACAAAGACCCATCCCCACATTACAAGTGGTTGACTCAGTGAGTGTGCTGCTATGGGCATTCCTCATTTCAAACTGACAGAACTCTATTAGTGCTCATTCACTTATCAAATCAAATGTCAATGGGTCTATCCGGTGATTTGCTATCTACTACATATGTAATCCATTTCTGGACATTAACACTGTAACATAGCTAAATAAGCACAACAAAGAGGCAGGTACTCCTGAAGTCAAATAATCAGTGTCTTGTAGTTTCTTGCAGTTGTTAATAAGTATGGGTATGTGTATTTGTGGAGCTTGGACCATGCACTCAGTGGAGGAAATATTTGTTGTATGAGTCACCTGGTCAGGATTCTTAAAATGTATTTTAAAAGTCTTCAAGTTGCTTTAAAGGAACACTATAGTCACCTAAACAACTTTAGCTTAATGAAGCAGTTTTAGTCTATAGGTCATGCTTCTCAGGTTTCACTGCTCAATTCATTGCCATTTAGGAGTTTTGTTTATGCAGCCCTAGTCACACCTTCCCTGACTCTGGTTGACACAGCCTGCATGAAAAAAAAATGTGGTTTTTACTTTCAATCAGATGTAATTTACCTTAAACAAGTGTATCTCTTTCAATTGTATCTCAGAGAACCAGATTGACCACATCTGTATTAGCAAGAAGTTTAGAAGATCCCTGCAAGACGTTAGAGTTAAAAGAAGAGCAGATGTGGCGTCCGACCACCAACTAGTAGTAGCCAGCATGCAGCTGAAGTTAAAGAAGAACTGGATGGAAAGTGAAGTATGATGTCAGCTGCTTAAGGATCACCAGCATCAGGGAGTTTGGACTTCAGTTGAAGAACAAGTGTGAGGTGCTACATGAGCTGCATGAGAAAGAGGAAAGAAGCGGTGTATAGGCCATCTGGCAGATAACAAAAGAGACACTGAGAACAGCCTGTCAAGAAGTGGTTGAAGCAAAGAAACATCACCACAAAGAGTGTATCACAGCTGAGACCTTTGGCAAGATAGAAGAGAGAAAACAGAAGAAGCTGGCAGTAAACAACAGCAGGACTAGGGCATAAAAAGCCAAACCCAAAGTCTAAGACGCAGAAGCCCAAAGAGCAGTGAAGAAGAGCATTAGGAAGGAAAAGAAAGACTACATAGATGGACTGGCAGCTGAAGCAGAACAGGCAGCATACAACGGCAACATGAAACAGCTGTACGACATGACTAAGAAACTGGACATGACTAAGAAACTGTCTGCGAAGTACAGCAAGCCAGAACGACCCGTCAAGGAGAAGGAGAGAAAGGTCATCGCAGGTCTAGTGCAGCAGATGAATAGATGGTCTGAACACTTTGAGGAGCTCCTGAACAGACCAGCACCACCAAATCGATGAAGATCTCCCCATCAACCATCAACTGCGGCAAGTCGACTAGAGAAGAGATCGGGAAGGCCATCACCCTGATGAAGAACGGGAAGGCAGCTTAACTTAATGACATACCAGCAGAGGCCCTGAAAGCAGACCTGAAATCATCAGTGGAGATGCTGTACCCAATTTTCCAGAAGATCTGCGAGGAAGAAGAGATACTGACTGACTGGAAGGACGGTTATCTAATCAAGCTTCCAAAGATGGGTGACCTCAGCAACTGTAACAACTACAGAGGTATCACACTTCTGTCAGTGCCAGGCAAGGTCTTCAACCGGATCCTCCTAGAGCGGATGAAGGACGTCGTCGATCCACAACTATGAGATGAACAAGCAGGCTTCCGGCAGAATCGATCATGCGTGGACCAGATAGCAACGCTGCACATCATAGTCAAGCAGTCCTCGAAGTGGAACTCATCGCTGTACATTAACTTCGTCAACTATAAGAAGGCGTTTGACAGTGTGGATCGAGAGGTCCTATGGAAGCTCCTCTGGCACTACGGCATCCCAGCCAAGGTGATCAACCTGATCAAGAGCTCATACGATGGTATGACCTGCAGAGTGATCCACTGAGGACAGCTTACCAACAGCTTCCAGGAGAAGACTGGAGTCCGACAAGGATGCTTGTTATCCCCGTTTCTCTTCCTCATCATCATCGACTGCATCATGAAGACATCCACCGGCGAATGCAGATATGGAATCCAGCGGACCTTGTTGAGTCAACTGGATGACTTGGCTTTGTCGACGACCTCGCACTTTGCTCCCACAGCCAGCAGCAGATGCAAGAGAAGATCAGTGTGTTGGAAGCTACATCAGCACAGGTTGGACTCATCATCCACAAGGAGAAGACTAAGATCCTTAAGACCAACTTCAGCAACATCAACCCAATCATCCTGAATGGAAGTCTCCTGTAGGAAGTACAGTTCTTCACCTCCCTTCACCTCTCATTGACAGCCGCTAGAGGAGCTTCCGCAATTCTCACTGTGAATTCTCAATGAGAATTCTCAATGAGACAGCCACTAGAGGAGCTTCCGCAATTCTCACTGTGAAAATCACAGTGAGAAGATGCTTAATGTCCATAGGAAAGCATTGAGTAATGCTTTCCTATGGGCGGTTTGAATGCGTGCGCGGCTCTTGCCACACATGAGCATTCGGAGCTGAGAGGCGAATCGGGGCGGAGAGATCCCCAGCGCCAAGGGAGTCCGGCGCTCGAGAAAGGTAAGTGCTTAAGACACACACTCTCACGAACAGACGCATACACACTAGCTAACAGATACACATTTACTGACAGACACACACACTCACAGACAGACACACACTCACTCACTTACAAAACACACACTCACAAACAGATGCACACAAACTAACACACTCAGTAACAGACACACACAGTAACACTCACTGACACACTCTAACACTAACACATACACACACACACTAACACACACACACTCTAACACTAACATACACACACTATAACACACACATACAAACACACTAACACACACACACACGTTTTTAAATTTTTTTTATCTCCCAGCCTCCCTACCTTTGGGAGAGCTGAGGGGATTCCCTGGGGTCCAGTGGTGTCACCGGGCAAGCAGGCTGGCTGCGAGGGAGCAATCTCCCCTGAGTGCTTCCTGTTCAGCTCCCTCGCGCGCCGCGTACTGATGACGGAGCTGGAAGATGACGTCATCTTCCAGCTCTGGCATCAGTGCGGTGCGCGCCGTCAGCCTGCCCGCCGGGTTACACCAGGGCCAGCCTCAGGTGAAGAGGCTGGCCACACTGGCATACATACCGGGTCGCAGGACGGCCGGGCCCCCTGGTGCGACGGTCCTGGTCGCAGCCACGACCCCTGCGACCCAGTATGAAACAGTCCTGTTCACTGATGAGTGCCGTGCAACCCTGGATGGTCCAGATGGATGGAGTTTGGATGGTTGGTGGATGGCCACCCTGTTCCAACAAGGCTGCGACGTCAGGAAGGCGGTGGTGGAGTCATGTTTTGGGCCAGAATCATTGGAAGAGAGCTGGTCGGCCTTTTAGGGTCCCCAAAGGTGTAAAGATGACCTCTGCAAAGTATGTGGAGACTGACCACTTTCTTCCCTGGTACAGAGGGAAGAACTATGCTTTCCGTAATAAAATTAACTTCATGCATGACAATGCACCATCTCATGCTGCAAAGAATAGCTCTGCATCAATGGCTGCTATGGGGATAAAAGGAGAGAAAGTCATTATGTGGCCTCCATCCTCCCCTGACCTCAATCCTATTGAGAACCTTTGGACCATCCTCAAGCAAAAGATCTATGCGGGTGGGAGGCAGTTTACATCCAAACAGCAGCTTTGGGAGGCTATTCTGACATCTTGCAAACAACTTCAAGCAGAAACTGTCCAAAAACTGACAAGTTCAATGGATGCAAGACTTGTGAAGCTGCTATCAAATAAGGGGTCCTATGTTAAAATGTAACGTGACCTGTTAAAATGTTTAAAAAGTTAAAATGTTGTTATAAGTTTGATTGAAATAGCTTTTGATGTCAGTAAATATGCTGCAAACACAACAAATGACAATTTTCAGTTCTTTACAACCTATAAAGTGTTTTGAAACTTACTGTGCGTAATAATTTGGAACAGTGCATTGTAAGTTTTTTATGTTTAAAAAGAATAATGTTATCATTAGGAGGTTTGTTCAATAAAATTTGAATTGTACGGGGGCGTGTCCTGACCGCGCATGTGAGCGGACGTGTGAGACCGGAGCTCCTCCGACACCGCGGCTATCACAGCGTGGATTAAACAGCAAACTGCCTGCTAAAGCCAGCAACAACAAGGGGAATTACCCTCTTACTAGATGGCGGCGAAACCGCAACGGAAAATGAAGCAGAAAACAATGCATGCTCATCTGGAGAGGCATCAAAGCACGGAGCATGGTGAGCAAGATGGCGCCGATAGGCCCAACTCCCCAACATGTGACCCTGAAGCAGGGGATAACAGACACAGCCAAGACAGCCCAGCCACAAATTCTTCCATAAGATCAATCATGCTGGAACTTAAAACTTCATTCAAAGCAGACCTGCAGAAAATAGCATCAGACATCAGGTCAGACATCAACAGCATTGGAGAACGCACAGCGCACCTGGAAGAGCGCACGGAAAAATTGATTGATGCACACAATTCCATGGCAGAGGCACATACATCCCTGATACAAAAGCTCAAAATGCTGGAAGGGAAGGTAGCAGACCAAGAGGATAGGAGCAGGAGGAATAATATCCGCATAAGAGGTATCCCAGAATCTGTCCCACAGACAAAATTAACCCAATATGTGCAAGATCTATTCAAAATGCTTATCCCCTCCCTGGCTGATGCAGAGTTGATCCTAGATAGGACACACCGACTCCCCAAACCCAAGCATCTACCATCTGACACGCCAAGGGACACCATTACGAGGGTCCACTACTACCTGGTCAAAGACCGCATCATGCAAACAGCCAGAACGGCAGGCCGCTGGCCGGAACCCTATACCGACATCAAGCTCTTCACAGACCTCTCATCAACAACCATGCTTGCACGACGCACGTTCGCGCCCATCACCGCAGCATTAAGAGCAGCAAATGTACCCTACAAATGGGGCTTCCCCACGAAGCTACTGATCAAGCGGAATGGCGTGGACAAACCAATCCTCAGCCCGGAAGAGGGAAAGAGGATCCTCCAGGACTGGGACATTCCACTGCAAGACAACGACCCTAAGAGACCACTTTTGAACGCGGTACCAAAACCCCTCGCAAAAGACTGGAACCGAACAACGAAAACCCCGCGCACATCCGCCGACCGCAGAACCTCTCCTCCATGAAGGAAGCACCAGATTAAACCTATGTCGGTGAGAACCGAATGGACTAGACGTACAGGTTCTATAATTTTTTCTTTAACTTGTTTCCCCCTTGTAATCTACTCTAATCCCACCGGTTAAACGTTCCTAGCACAAGCCGCGGCCGGGAGGAGGAACCCCCAGACCCGCCTTACCTACACCCTAGCACTGCCACAACCACGCGCATTGTGGTTAGTGCCAACCGGCTCCACGTGGGCCACCCCCAAGGCTCTTAAGGCCTCTTGAGAGCTATCCTTGTCCGTTGCTTGATGCGACCTAATGTCCCCATATGGCGACATACGGAACTTTGTATATAGTTACTACCCTGTTGTTTCCCCTCTCCCCCACGCCAGCATACCCGTAAAGGTGTCATACCTATCTTGCAAGGAAACTCCGAGTCCTTTATATCCACGTGCGCAGCGACCCAAACGTATAGGTCATGGTGATTAAAATTATGTCCCTAAACACAAAAGGGCTTAACTCCCCGCACAAGCACAGGCTGGCTATACAAGAGGCAAGGAAAAGTGGCGCTCTAGTGGCGTTCTTTCAGGAGACGCATTTCAGGTGGAAAGATAGACCAAAATTCACCTCTAAATGGTTTCCCCATGACTTCCACACTTGTTTCACGGCCAAACAAAGAGGTGTTTCCATTCTAGTTAGTAAGGATGTAGTATTCTCTCTGGTTCGCAAAATAACTGATAGAAAAGGGCGCTACCTGATTTTGCAATGCCTTCTTAACAATAACCCATATACGCTAGTCAATATTTACAGCCCTAATGAAAACCAGCACGAATTCCTAACCTCGACCCTGGCCGCACTTGATATGTATAAATATGGGGAGGTAATCATTGGAGGTGACACAAACTTCTTACTAGACAGTGAGTCTGACTCATCCACTGCTGCAGAGCTCTCTAAAAACACCCTGAGGAGACGAGCGGCTCTAACAGCCAAAGTGTGCGCCACATTAGCCTCTCACCACTTAGTAGACCCATGGCGCATCCTCCACCCCACAGAAGTAGACTACACATGCCATACACTGGCACATAACAGCTACTCCTGCATAGACCGCTTTCTCATCCCCGCATCCTCCATAACTAATATTGAGGAAGCTAATATCGGAACAATGTCAGACCATGCACCCATCACCCTTAGCATCAAGGAAACATTCCCCAATAAGGGGACAGGCACCTGGAGGCTGAATGAGTCTCTTCTGGTAGACCCCTATGTAGTGACACAGGTTACCTCAGACCTACAGCACTACTTCGCCGAAAACACGGCGCAAGACTCACCGATAGAACAAATCTGGCTAGCGCACAAGGCGGTCATACGGGGCAGCCTTATAAAACACGCCAGTAGAGCCAAAAAAATAAGGCTAGCAACCTATAACTCCCTGGTAACAGAAATTGCCACACTAACACACTCCAACAAACGAGACCCGAACAGGGCCACTTGCAAAAAACTGATAGACCTCCAAAATCAATTGAGAAACATAGAACTAGCTAAAACAACATATATATTACGCAAAGCTAAACATAACTTTTTTGCCAACGGAAATAGGGCGGGCGCCAAACTAGCGTCACAACTGAAGGAGAGACGTGTGACCTCCAGGATTGCCTTCCTAGTAGACAATAAGGGAGTGAAGACTTTGAACCCACAATGTATTGTAGACCAATTTGCAAAATATTACAGTGAATTGTATAACCTTAAAACTGACCCCAACATGTTCCTACCTACACATGACGACATTGACGGTTTCTTGACGGGCCTTGACCTACCGAAATTAACGAACGATGACCTAGACCTGCTACAACAACCATTCTCCATGGACGAGATCACGGCTGTAATATCGAAACTGCCAGCCCACAAATCCCCTGGCCCCGATGGCTTTACTAACGCATACTACCAGAAATTCTCACGCATCCTTACGCCACAGTTACTAAACCTCCTCAATAACTGCGCCACCGCAGGCGCATTGCCAGAGGAGATGCTGCTGGCCCACATATCCACCCTCCCTAAGCCTGGCAAGCCCCCCACCCAATGTAAAAACTTCAGGCCCATTTCCCTACTCAATGGGGATGCCAAAATCTATGCTAAACTCATCAGCAACCGATTAGCTCCTCTCCTTCACAAACTGGTACACAACGATCAGTCGGGGTTTATTAAAGGACGTCAGGGCTCAGACAACACCAGGAAAATCCTGAACATGTTATCCACGCTAGACACTGGCGGCTCGAAAGGACTCTTCCTCGCGCTTGACGCGGAGAAGGCCTTCGACCGGCTAAACTGGGAATACATGGCTAAAACCCTACACAAATTTAACTTTCCCGTGTCCATGATTAAAAGCATAATGGCATTATATCACAAGCCAGCGGCCAAGGTCTCTCATGGAGGCTTCCTGTCCAACCCTTTCTCTATTACTAACGGCACCCGACAGGGATGCCCCCTTTTCCCCCTTCTATACATACTAGCCCTGGAACCACTAGCGTGCAAAATCAGATCCCATCCAGACATACAAGGAATCCCTATACGAGACAAGAGGTACAGCCTGGCCCTGTTTGCCGACGACATTTTCGTGGCATTAACAGACCCCACCCGCTCTTTACCGCATATGCTGGAACTCATACAACAATTTGGAAAAGTCTCATACTACAAATTGAATCAGTACAAAACCCAAGCCCTACCCATAAACCTGCCGAAAACCCTGTTAGACTCCCTTCGCACCACATACAAATTTGATTGGAGAACCGCCTCCATTACATACCTGGGGATAAAAGTGGCACCCTCCACCTCGGCCACGCTAACATTAAACTACACTCCATTACAAACGCTCTGCAACACTGAAATGCACAAATGGAAACATACGATGATCTCATGGCTGGGGAGGATTAATGCCTACAAAATGATGATCCTGCCCCGTATTCTCTATGTCTTTAGGATGCTCCCCCTCAAAATCCCCGCCCAATGCTGCAAAACACTACAAAAACTATGCAGCACCTTCATCTGGGGGGGTAAGAAACCTAGGGCATCCATGGCACTCCTCCAAACAGACACCCGCTCTGGCGGAGTTGGTCTCCCCAATCTCAGACAGTACTATAGGGCGGCTATCCTATCCACAGGTGTCCTCTTCCATACACCACCTAATACGATTCAATGGGTGGACATGGAAAGAGCACAATTTCGCAACCAAGGCCTACTTGACTATCTCTGGACACCCAAACACCTCAGACCGCGAAGACAGGATCTCTTCCCAACCACCCAGCTCACGCTGGCAGTATGGGATGAATTCATGGGAGCCAATGGATATAACAACTCCTTCCACCCCAAATCGCCCATCTCGATACTCAGAGCAATGGTAACAGACATACCACTCCAAGATTGGCATAAGGCAGGGATCAAACACATATCCCAACTGATGACCGACGGGAAAGTAACACCCTTCCCCACACTACAAACGCAGTGGAAACTCCCCAGCCGAGCCATCTTCTCCTACTTACAGATTAAAAGTGTATTACAAGCACACATAACTACCGCACATAACCCAAACAGCTCCCCACAAATCACATCACAGCTGCTCATTGACAGATGCTGGTCCTCACCCAATAAACCTAAAACACTCACACTATGCTACAAAACGTGGCAAGAACTCACGCCAGCTAAACCACATCCACACAAAGCCCAATGGGAGACGGAGTATGACATAACCTTAACAAATATGGAGTGGCTACAAGCAATGAATGGGTTGTCCAAACAAACAAAATGCTTCTCACACATAGAGGCCCACAGGAAACTCATGTACCGGTGGTACATGACCCCACAACGACTTCACTAACTATTTCCCGCGACGAGCCCGCTATGCTGGAGATGCCAATCAAGCCCAGGCACACTGATACACCTGTGGTGGTCTTGCAGAGGCATCCAACCTCTCTGGACTGCTACGAGGTCAATCCTAGACACACTAGACATTCCAAAATTTGAACTGACAGCACCCATTTGCCTAATGCTACTGCTCCCCACAGGCCTTAACCCAGGCCAAAAACAAATCATAACGTTAGTTTTAATGGCATCGAGAAATCTCCTAGCACTCAACTGGAAATCCCAAAACTGCCCTTCCTTACTACAGCTGACAGATAAAATAGGGCAATTCCATATATATGAGAGAATGGCAACCACATCTGCTAAGAACATAACACAATTTGACGTTACTTGGGGTAAATGGGAAAGAGAGTTTGGACGGATAAAGGACAGAACACCAACAATAGCAAACACTGCCACAAGCACTAACCGTGACCGCAACCCGGACTAGCCCTCTACACCACGGCAGTTCTAACCCCAGACCAAGACAACTACCAACGAATTATGGGTATTGCTGGCGCACCCCCACGCATTCCACCCACCCATAACCCCCTCCCCCCTTGACACCCTTGGATTCCCTCTCAGGTTCTAGACCCCCACCAGACCCCTACCACCCAGCACCTAACGAAAGGAAAAGAAGAAACTTTACGGCAACTAGTGCTATCTTACGCCACTGACGACTTACAATGCAGGCGACGATAACGGAACATCTTGCACATGTCACAGCACTATACTGTCTCATGAAGGTTACTGCCACAATGTTAAGAATGTACTGATGTTACCTTGATACATAATCGTTATTTGTTAATGTTACTATTGTGTAGAACACTGTCTCTCGCATACTGGCGACACAATGTTTTGGAATCATGAGTGTCATATAGAGATGTCATCTGCTTAACCAACCCTCCCACCTTCTTTTCTGTACCCCCACAACCTCGAATAATACAATAAAATATAAATTTGACAAAAAAAAATGGAATTGTACTCTTAATAGTTGATAACATGAGAATTATGCTGACTGTTATTTACATCAATTGTTTAGGTAAATGAGAAAAATATAATTTGTATTAATTTGGAACAGGGTGTGTGTATATATATATATAAATGTATGAGATTATATACACAAATATTAGTGTTTCAAAAGAGTAAAACGTATAACAACAATATCATCAGCGAAAGTGTTGTTTGTGTGTGAAAAATGCAATTTTCCTGACAATATCATTGCCGTGATATGTTTTACTGTTTTGAAACACTAATATTAGTGTGTGTGTATATATATATATATATATATATATATATACACACACACACACACACACATATATATATATATATATATATATATATATTTATTTATTTATTTTACATTTTTTTTTATTAACTTTTTTTTATCTTAACAGAAACAGGGAGATTGCCTGTCAGTTTAGGCAGTCCCCCTGCAGGCAGCACTATGGACGCCTATTGCAGCCATGTAATTGCATGGCCTCCAGGTGACTAATTTGCCAAGGGGGGATTGTCTGGGCTGTCAGGCAGTCGCCCCAGACCGTGAGCAACACCGATCGCCAGCGGGGGAACGGCGGCGATCGGGTAAGTAATATATTTGCTGTGGACGTACTTGGTATGTCCAGTCCTTAAGGACCGTTTTTGTCGAATGTACATAGTATGTCCACGGTCCTTAAGGAGTTAAAAAACTATTTAGATTCTGTGAACTTTGGAATTGCTATTTAGTGTACGAGTGAGTGCACTGGATCTTGTATGTATTGTTCCCAGCAGCCAGCAGTTTTTATACACACAAAACAAAAAATACTGAACCTCCCAGCACTCAACCTATCTTTAGTGTCTGGGTGTAGTCCATGCATTTAAAATATATGCACAAAGGACTTTTGCATTAAAATTTGTGCTCCAGTATTAATATGTAAACAAAGTTACATCCTGAGAGTATATACACATACACATACACACCATGACAAAGGCAATGAAATAAAAGCTGTGGAATTGTATAGACTTTAAAAGCAAACAACCCAGCTAAAATACAACAAATGTTCAACAAAACAAAATTTATGACCGTGTTCCATTAACTCATTAGATATCAGAGAAATGAGTAATGCATTGTTCTGTAGCATTTCATTGTTATTTATCTAGCCATGCAAAGGTTAACAGCAATGAAAACCTGTGCTATCAGATACACAGGGGAACTGCAGGATGTCTGCACCTATGATAACCGATAATGGATTGTATTCAGCTGTGTTGAATTTTCAGTATTCAGATTACATGTGACAGAATACATCAACATAGAGATGCTGCTTGGCAACAGAGGACACAATGAAGAATATTTTTTTAATGAAACATTTAAATCATGCTCATGTCATGTTGACCTATGCAAGTAATTTAATTGTGTTTTTTTGTTTTTTTTAAGTACCTTTTGAAATATGGTGTCTGTCAGCCTAATCTGATTTATCTCCAAGAACTGATCTAACACCACCTGCATGTAAAATAACAATTTGCTACATCTGTACCATCCAACTTTCATTTTCCAATTTTCATAGCTGGGAGATTTGGTTTATCAAACCACACAATCTGTGGCCATAGGACCGGACTACAAAACTGCAGATTTCTCAATAAAAAATTAGAGAAACAAAGAGAGAGAGAGAGAAAAAAACCATAGCTGTGAGTTATGAAAATAATGTCATTGATGAGTTCTGGAGAGTTTAAATACAGTCAGGACGAGTGGTTTCTTATGCACAAAATGGCATTATTTCAATTAAAACATGCCTCACTATTATGAATATTTTATGTTACATGACATTTGTTTGTTGGTGAAAGTGTTAAAGGTTTAATCCAAGCACCATGACCACTTCAGCAATTTCATGGTCAAAGTTCTTGGGAGTCTGTATGTCCAGCATTTTAGTGAGAAACGCTGTGATAGCTTAATGTAGCATTAAAGTTTAGCTTAATGTAGCAGTTTTAGGGTGTAGATCAGGCTACCCCAAACTCTGGCCCTCCAGATGTTGCTGACTACAACTCCCATGATTCTATTAATGAAATAGATAGGCTGAGAATCATTGGAGTTGTAGTCCAGCA